TGGGGCATCTGCCTTCCGTAACTGAGGCCTTGGGTTCCATTTATTATTCTCCAAATAAACAGAACAAAATTCTAGGAGAAAGGTAAGTCACGGAGGTCTTTAAAATGCAAGAAAAAGTTCTAAAATAGTTTAGAATTTGTATGGAAGAGAACAGAAAGAACATTCTAGAAGCACAAAAGACAGAGAAACAGAAATGATCCTGGGCCCAGCCCGGGCAGTAAACTGGCCGACTGACTTAGAAACAAGGGACTATGGCAAGAAGAGCACCAGACACACAGGTGCGAACAGCCAAGAAATGACAGTGAAAGGCAAAGGCAGAGTTTCAAATGGTCCAAGTTCATGGAAATGTGTCGTGAACCAATAGACATAATAAAACAATTGCCTCAACTTTTCCCACTACACAGTTCTCAAAAATCCAACATGTTTTTCATATTTCCACTGAAATGGCAATTTTGTTTGAGGATGCCAAGTAAAAAATAGGGGGCAAAAGCTCATCTTCCTGTGACAGAATGTAATCTCTTCATTATTTTTTCCTGCAAAACCAAAACAGATGGAAAAGTAGTTTGAGGCAGGGAGTGTCTTAATTAGCTGCCTGAGGGACCAACAGTTTTTGTATGACTCATGTGAGTTACTTACAATCAAGCCACCCTCTGGTGTCCTGAATTACCCACGCTGCCATCTGGAAATGTGACTGGGGAATGTTTGGGACAGCAGTTGCCAGGCCCCAGGGCCTCCTCCCACAAGGTTAACCTTGTGGTGTTTATTCTGGCCTAACCATTCTTTAGACACTGTAATAGGGAGGTTCTCTACCTCCGCAGAAATCATTTGCTTCCACTGTCCCTCACACAGAGCGAGACACTGAAGTGTGGCAGTCCCAAGATGCGTATGAAGCATTCATTTCTCTCTTTCTTGGAAAGAAATACAGCACACACTGTTATTACCCAAAACAGGAGACGAAGACATTCGCCAGCTGTTACCACACACGCTGCTCCTTAAGTGAAGTGTAGCTCATTTGGAGGACTGCAGGTGGGGTGAGGTGGCTTGTGCAGCAGACAGAAAAGATGCCAACAGTGAATGGAGACTGCAGACAGGCAGGAGTCAGGCAGCGCAGGGTCGCGTATGTGCTTGGGTTTTACCCTACAGGTGATGCGGCTATTGAGGACATTCATAGCGCAGTGTGATGGGCCAGGGATACTGCTGGAGAGAACCTTCCAGCACATCTGGGTAGGCAAAGTTTAGGTAAAAAATTTATAACAGAGAAGCCAGGCATGGTTGCTCATCTCTATAATCCAAGCACTCTGGGAGCCCAGCCTGGGCAGTTGAGGTTCTTAGCAAGACCTTGTCTCAAAATTTAACATTTTTAAAGGGCTGGGAGTGTGGCTCAGTGTGCAGGCCCTGGGCTCAGTCCCCAGTACTGAAAAAAAAAATACAATAAATATAAATATAAGGATTTTTGAAAATTCTAAGAGGTTTCTAAGAAAATCTAAAAGATTATATAAATAAGCCAAGCTACAGAGTGAAGAAAATCAGTGTGTCCAAGGGCAAAAACTTAGAGACTATATATATATTAAAAAGATAGATGTGTTTATTACTTATGAACTTCAAACTTTTATATGGTAAATATTCCATGATCAAAGTTAGCAGAAAAATGAGAGATTTGTAGAGGAGTCTTCTACCTCAGAAGACAGAAGGAACTTATAATATGCCAAGATCTCTGATGAATTGACAATGAGGGGATAAAAACAGGGTAGAAAGATAAGCAAACGACCTGATAACAACAATTTGGAAAAGAACTGCTCTGAATGCCTAACAAATCTATTTCAAAATGTCCAAATCTGTACATACTCAGGGAAATGCAAGCAAAATGAACAAGGTGTCCTTTTATGTCTAAAAGACTGGAAAATCAAAAAGAGTAGCTTTATTGCTTGCTAGTGGAAATGTGCATATTCATCCCTGCTGAGAGAAATGGAACTAATATAGTGTTAAAAGTAATAGTATTCAAAACTGAATCTGACCAAATCTATCAAATTAAAAATGTATATTATTTTGAATCAGCAATCCTCCCACTGAAAATATAAGCCATAGCAATAAGCAAATTGTAAGTAACAATATACACATAAGAGAGGTTTTGGGGGTTTTGTTTTTGTGGGGGGTTTTTTTGCACTGTTTATGGGGCAAAAAAAAAAAAAAAACCTTGGAAATAAACTGAGATTTCATCAGTAGTAGAATGCTTTGTAAATTATGGTGTGCCAACAGAATATTAGCTAGCATTTAAATAATGGATACAGCTATGCCAGATAAAGTACTTATTATAAGTGAAAACAATAAGAAATAGAGGAATACATGTAACTAGCAGGGCAGTCTGGTATACTAGTTAAGAGAATGGACCCAGAAACTTCTAAGTCTTTGGAAGGCAATCCTGGCTCTGCCAGGAAGGATCTGGAAGTTTCTGGATCCATGCTCTTAGCTAGTACACCAACTGTGTCATCTCTTGCCATCTGTGTCATCTTGGAAAACCTACTTAGTCTCCCTGAACCTCAGTTCTGTCAAATATTGCAAAGAACTGTTATAGGAATAATTAAGTTATAACACATAGACCATTTAGAACAAACCTATAATTTCAGCACTCAGGGAGGCTGAGGCAGAAGGGACACAAGTTCAAGTCCAGCCTGGCCAATGTAGTGAGATCTGCTCTCAAAAAATAATGAAAGAGAAAGAGGGAGGGAGGAAGAGAAAGAGGGAGGGAGGGAAAGGAGAGGAGAGGAGAGGAGAGGAGAGAGAGAGAGAGAGAGAGAGAGAGAGAGAGAGAGAGGATGAAGAAGAAGAGGAAGAGAGGAGAGGAGAAGAGAAGAGAGGAGAGGAGAGGAGATCTTGGAATGTAATTCATGCCGAAGGCCCTAGGTTCAATCCCTAGTACTACCATAAAAGAAGATGATTAGAACAATGTCTGGCATATAATAAGCACTCAGCACACATTAGCTATCACTGTATGTCCCTGCTGTTTTAAAGCAATGATCAGAAATGCTGTATATGCATGTATATAAGCTCCCCCCCCACTGGTGTGTCAAGCTGCTCATAGGTAGCCAACCTACTTCATGTGTAGGTGCCACCTGGCCCTCTGTATCACCAGAGGAGCTGGAGTTGAGGAATCAAGCAAATGCTATCTGCTGGCTGCTGCCATTACTGTGGGTGATAAAACACACACTTGCCCTTGTTTTCTACCAATTCTCAAGACATAGTAACAACTTATTAGCTAGAAAGCCTGGAAACTTCCAAAGGACTCACAATTCTTTTTTAAAATTATTTTATTTTATTTTTTCACGTATTTGGTACAGGCTCTCACTCCTAGTGAACCTCTTGTTTTCAGCGTCCCCAGCACTGGGATTACAGGCGTGTGCCACCATGGGCTTAGCACACCAAGGGGTTGAGCCGGCATGGCATATGGTGCCAGGGATCAAGACCTGGTCCCTGACTCTCCTAAGCAGGCACTTAATCTGCTGAGCTATCTTGCCGGCTCTGACCTCACAATTCTTGGCATGCTTATGTACCGAGATTTACTTTGATTATGTGAGCACAGAGGAAAATATAGAAGAATTAATACTAGGCTAACAAAGTTGGGTTATGGTGAAGCAGGGGCAGGAAGGAGGGTGGGGAAGATGAGCAGAAAGGAGGGGAAGAAGAAGGTGAAGAGAGGGCTGGTGAGATGGCTCAGTGGTCTAAAGCACCTACTTGGAACAAGCTTAGCAAAGCACAGGGACCGCGGTTCGATCCCCCAGCACCACATGCCAGCCAGCCCCGCCCCCTGATGGGCTGAGCTGGCCACACACAAATAAATAAATGTTAAATAAATAAAAATTTTAAAAAAAAGAAGGTGAAGAGAAAAGACACCAAAGTCCCAGTTCACAATGGATAAATTGACTTGGATGCCTGCCAGAGAAAGGGAAGGGTGCATACACCCCTCACCTAAATGTCCCCACAATTTGATAATTCACCCCACACAGTCATAAGGAAAAACTGAGATTTAAAAAAAAAAAATACATCATGTGATCAAAACATACAATGAGTGATCAAAATACCTTAAAAGGTATTGCAGTAAACACTACATCGCAGAAGAGTCCCCTGCTTCGAACACCCTTGTGCCATCACTCTTGCCACTTTCTGAAGCAGCTCTGAAAGGCCTCCCTCCATGAGATGGGAGCACAGACCGCTGCTGCCGAGGGTCACCCCCCAGACAGCAGGCTTGTGAAACACTATGCTACGTGTGTCGTCATCCACCTTCTCCACTGGGCCTGGCACTGCAACTTGTGGCTTTTCTTTAAAGTCAAAGTGACAGTGAGGGGTAATGAATGTTTTGACTGATTCAGGATATCAAGGCAGCCAGGACGGTGCAACTGAACGCACCGGCAACCGGAACTGCTTCAGAAGATGGCAAGAATGGTGGGATAGTGTGCTCCAAGTGAGAGTGGGTGTTCTGAGGGGGATTAATGGCCATGAGTCCTTTACAGAAAGTTTTTTTAATTCACCATATTTTTCTGTCACACCTCATAACCTCCTGTAGTTTCTAAACTTTTGCTCAAGGTCCAGTCTCTAACCCTCCAGCATGTGTCGAGGGCCTGCCCAGAGTTCACCACGTGTCATTTTCATACTCAGATGTGAGCTCTCTGCTTGCTTTAGCTGTTTACTTCACAAGAACAAAGTCTTCATTTCCTGAGTAAGGATGTCATAAAAAATAAATTGAAGTTATATTTAGATATTTTTTGAAGGAAGTCTTTAAAACTACATGTTTTGTCCTTATAGAGTCCTTAAATAATTATGTTTTTCTTTCAAAGGAAAAAAAGGCTGCTTCATGAAAAGTTACAAGAGAATCAGCTACTTTGCTGTGTTAGAATCCTTCTATGCACGATTCACAAGCTTTGGAGGGTGGGCATACAAAGCATCACCTGGTTCCAAACAAGCGGAAGAGAGGAGAATGGACTCAGAAGTGCCACACAAATACGTACCAGTCTCTGCAACAGCCTCAGCTGCCTTGGGACCCTGACTCCAGCCTGCAAGAGAAGAGACGTGACATTGGCTTGAGGGGCAGGCTACACGACTTCTGCAGGGAGGTTAAAATGCATTCATTCCAGTTCATCAAAAGAACTATTCATCCTGAAAAGTAGCTTCCATTTTTTAGTGTAGAGTTGGCTTCCACTCCAGAATTTGAATCCGTCTCTCTCAGACGAGGTTTAACCTTGACCCAAGAGGTCATTCTACCTTGTCATGATTTCTTTTAAATCTGTAGGAGGGGTCTACATGAAATGGCAAGAACAGACAATTAGGATATTTACACTGTTTCATTTTAGTTTTGGGTTTGACATTAAGCTTCTCACTGTTACGCACATAAAGCGTGGATATATGGCTATGTATGTACATATCTTCTATAAAGATGCATAAAACCATAAGTAAAACCACAATAATAATCAACAAGCCCTTGAGACTGATTAAAAATTTTAGCCAATTGTACATTCCTCATGATAAATCCCCATGTAGATAACACAAGCACAAATGATTACCATTATGAGTGATATGTTTTCCCTTCTGGAGGCCAGTTTGATGATGTAAATGAGAAACTTGAAAAATATGCTCAGACTTTATGGATATTTTAAACAACTTTATGAGATATAACTGACATACAATACAATTTATTCATTTTGTTCACAAGAAAATGTTTTTACACACAGCTGAATATCTACCACCATAGCAGATTCGAGCATTCTAATTATCCTGCAAAGTAGCATGTACCCTCCCCCATCACTTCTCTGTCTCCCCTTCTCCCCATTCCTAGGCAACCACTCATCCATTTTGTCTGTGTGGATTCACCCATCTTGGCCACTTCAGATGAGCGGAATCACACCGTATGTAGAGTTCTGCGTTTGGCCTTTCTTCCTTAGCATAATGTTTGTCTGTATTGAGGGATCGGCACTGTGTTCTTCTCACGGCAGGATAACATCCTTTGTGACTGTGTGCTGATTGTCTGCCCAGTGGCTGATGCTCCTTTAGATTGTGTCTACCTTTTAGCTACATGAATAATTCAGAACTTAAAAAGCACTGAAGGAACATTCACATCAATTCTTTGCACTGGACAAATGTTATTTTTCTCAGAAGGGAATTACTAGGTCATATGGTTAATTAAACTTTTTAAGACATTGACAAACTGTTTTCCAAAGTAGCTAGAGTATTTTATATTACACCTGTATTCATGGCTTTTAATTTAAAATTCTACTCATAGCAAATTTAATATAATACTTAAAAGTACCATAAAGGAGTAAATCAGAAGAAAAAAATTAATGTACAGGATAATTCTTTGCAACTTCAAACAATTTTTCATAATTAGAAATTGCATAAAATACCCCTTAAAAGTGGTTTGCCCCGGCGTGCCATGCCCAGTGATTGAGACTGGTCATGGTGGTGCGCACCTGTAATCTCAGCACTTAGAAGGCTGAAAACAGGAAAAACACTACAAGTTCAATCTACATAGTGAGATCCTGTAGAACCTGTTCTAAATACATTTTTTTAAAAAAGTGGTTTGGTTAAATATATCATGAGACACTGATTAATTACCACACAGCTCTTGAAGATAATGATGTGGATGTGTATTTACTGACATCAACACATGCTGGTGTTCCTGGGCTTCAACACTGTTCACCAAATATTTTTCTAGTTCCCTGCTAGCATTACCTCCGTGAGTACGTGGGACCATATGCTATTCTAGCCAATAATGTAAATAACATCTGTCACTTCTGGGCAAGTACTAAAATACAGATGTTTGATTCTGCAGAACAGCCTCCTCCCCCTGGTACAGCAATTAGCAGCGTCTGGAGTGGTACCTGTTCCATCGAGCCAAAGTTCACAAGTGATCACGAAGCACACACTGTCCCATCGCCAGCCCAAAATGGACAACTTATATGAGCAAGAAGCCAATATTTGTTGTTTACAATACAGAAATTGGAGATTGCATGTTACCAGGTGTAACCTAGCTTATCCTGGCAGATAGAATCAAAATAGATTTTTAAATATTAAACAACAAGGCACTATATTTAGAATCATTTTCAGTGTGTATGTTTCTATATGTAGCAGGTGCACCAAAATGCAAAGGGCCGTTACTTTCAGATGGGTGAATTGCTTCTCTTTACACTTTTCTATATTCAATTTTTGACAAATTACCATACATTATTTCTATAATTGAATAAATAATAAAGATATTTACATTTTTTTAACTGAAAGTATAACAGATACTGTTTTAATCTCATTCTCTTTAATCTCTCAAATATATACATATTTACATATCTACAAATGTATATTTGCATGAATATAAATAAACATAATATACTTGTATAAATACAGAAATACTAGTATATTTGCATATGGAAATTAACACTATAAGCCATGACATAGCTTCCTACTTAACAGCACAAAAATAAAAATAGTGCAGGATTAGTTTGACAACCATCCTGATTGCAAATGGAAGCCAAACAGTTTCTGAGGTGATGCTATTGTCTGCCTTCTAACAGGAGCTGAGGCGTGTGGAAAACAACCAGAGGGCCACAGCAAGGACCCTAGGTGAGTCCTTCACCAGCTCTGCAGGCCCACAGCAGGTCTTGCCCTTCCTAAAATTGTGGAATAGGCTGGGGAGCACTTAAAATAACTATGGTTGGAAGGAGAGCCAAGCCTCTCCCAGGTATTAGATTCTCTGTGTGACCTACAAGATTTTCTTTGAAGTTTCCTCTTTTGTAAAATAGGTTTCCAAGAAAACAAGCAAGCCTTAAGGAGAACAGAAGAAGTTGGCTTTCCATTTCTGAGATGACTATCTGCTGTCTCAGGGGGTCTCTATGGCTGCACTTCAATGCAAGTTTAAACTCAGGCTGACCCAGAATCAAAACATCCCAGTAGAGACAAATTCCTGGTGCCAGCTAGGATTGGAGGTGGAAATGAGACCAATGTCATCATTGCTGGTTTTGGTTAGGAATTCCTGATTTTTTTTTATTTAGTATTTTTACATTGTGTTACAAGAATACCAGGGTGAAATTCAAAGACCCAATCCAAAAATGGGTACTTCTCAGATAAAGAAATACAAATGGCAAATAAATAAATGAAAAAATGTTCAGTGTCATTAGTCATTTGAGAGATACAAATTAAAACAACGCTGAGATCCAATCTCACCCCAGAAAGAATGGCTGTCATCCAGAAGCCAACCAATAACAAATGCTGGAGGGGCTGTGGAGGAAAAGGAACACTTCTCCACTGTTAGTAGGAGTGCAGACTGGTGCAACCACTGTGGAGATTCCTCAAAAACTAGGATTAGAGGTCTCATTTGACCCAGCTATTCCCCTTTTGGATATCTTCACAGAAGAATAAAAAACTCATACCACAAAGATATATGTGCACCCGTGTTTACAGCAGTACATTTTGTCATAGCTAAATCTTGGAAACAACCCAAATGCCCATCGACTGAGGAACAGATATAAAAGATGTGGTCTTTTTATATGATGGAATACTACTTAGCCACAAAGAAATATAAACTAGTGACTTTTATAGGTAAATGGATGGAACTCGAGACCATTCTCATAAGTGAAATAAATTAGACTCACATGTATAAATATCGTATTGTCTCCCTGGTATGAGAAGCTGAAAGAGTAAATAAGGTCCAAAATGTACAATAGATATTGTGAAGTGGGAAGAAATTGTTCAGAAAACAAAAGGAACTAGAATGAGGGTAAAGGTGAAAGGAAGGAAGGGAAAAGGAAAAATACAAGATGGTTATACTACTGGTTTACCTTACTTGATTGAAAATAACAGTTTGTACTAATATAATTTGGAGAATCTTTTATGCCCATATTTTGTACTCTAATTAAAGATAATAATAATACTCAATGTATTAACTATTGTTATTCTCCTATTATTTTGTAATAAAATTTTGTTTTACTTTTTTTCCCATAAAATAAAAAGAAAGAAAATAAAGAATCTAGGGATGGAAATTAGGGACAGAGAGCTAACTAGCTCCCAGTTTCACAGGGGTATTATTAACCTTTAGTTACTGCAGGCCAATCAGGTCTGCCATCTCTCAAATGGGTGCAGAGTGCAGGCTAAATAAAAAGAGACAAATGGAATGATTTCAGGGCTCCAGGTGAAGCCCCTAGACACCTAATCTCCTTTAGTGAGAAAGCAGCCCAAGAAAGCTCTGCCTCCAAAAATGTAAACTATTTCTTATTGCAAGTAGATAGTTAAATGCACTATAGATTTGTTTTAAGTGGGTGTGAAAAGATAGTAGACATAAAAAGAAAATGCCATGATCTCTTCCACCAAGGACCATACTATCTAACTTACAGAGAAAAATTAAAGAAACATCCTCATGAGAACATAACGTGAAGGTGGGCGCCCATGGGGCTGCTCTGCCTTGCTCCTCTCCCATCGTAGGCTGCCTCACCGCAGCTTATCAGCAACAGGGCCCAGATCATGGGCTGGACCCTCGGAGGCCCTGAGCCAAATTAATCTTTTCTCATTATAAGTTGGTCACCTCAGTTAGTTGTTATAGTAACACAATGTTGAACAGCACAGTCCATCAGTGGGAAAGAATGTGAGAAGGGACAGGAGGGACAAAGCATAATCCCGTGGTGTATCAACTCCCTTGGGTCTGGATGACTGACTGACCCAAGCTGACCGGTAAGAAAACAAAAAGGAGGTCTGTATTCTCCTCTCTCTAAGAAATAAATCCAGTACAAGCTACAACCCGTTGTGCTCTATTGCCAGCTCTATGGCTGCAGATGAACTTGAGGACTTGATCAACCAGCTAGCATTCATTTTTCTGAGGACTTTATAAAATACCACAACTAAGCAGACTATTACCCCAGAGATCTGCTACAGAACCAGGAACAAAACCAAGGCCAGCTGCTGGAAACTCGCATGAGCTGCCACTTACCACCAAGTGTGAAAGTGTGGATCTGGGAGTATTTCCGCGTGGCTGGTTCTGTACCATCTGCCCCAAACTGACCTTCTTTGGGTGCAGTTG